GTACATCAGGTATTTCTAACTGGCTCCTGGTCTGTACAGGTAAGAACAAGCTGTCCTTCATCCAGACTCTCATTCCTTGTCTCTTAAAGCTCTGCAAAGGACTTTCCTCCTCCTGTGCTCTCCTGTAGACACCTGTGTGTTATCAGGGTATGGGGCATTGCAGGTGGAGTAAAAACTGAATTCCCAAGAGAGAGACAGAGAGCACCCAAACAGAGCCAAGAGCAGCACCCACAGCAAGCAGGAGCCCTCCTACACTGACAGGCCAGAATCCATCCCCAGGCACGCATTCTTCCCAAGAAAGTGCTGTAGTACAAAGCTGACTTGAGATAAAAAGCAAGTACAAGTTGTCAGCAGCCCCAGCATTCTGTATGCACACCCAATTATTTTGAGAGAGCCAGTTCTCACTGCCTTCACAACCACACGCTTCTGCTGATGGCAAAGCAGGGAGGCTGAATTTCCAATCAAAATTTCACTACTCTCTCTCACCCTGAGACACCAAAAAACCACAAAACACCAAAAAACACAAGTGTTCAGCCTTTCTTGTACTGTTAGCTCAGAAAAAAGCAAGTCTTTCCCCTTCCTCAAGCTTCTAAGTTTCTAAGGAACCTCACATGTGCCTTTTCACACTGGCACTGCTACACAGCAAGATAAGCTTCAGTTTATTCATTTAAGCTTCAGATTTTGGACATCAGGAAGAATTTCTTCATGGAAAGGGTTGTTAGGCATTGATTGGAAGGGGCAAAACTGAATAGTTTTCTTGCAGCAACAAAGAAGCACCTAGAGAGACACAGGGGCGGAATAGCAACAAAAATGAAAATTACACAAGCAATTGTCAGGAAAATTTTCCCAGAGACAGCACGGTAAATGAATAAACACAGCACGGAGGCGTTAAACAATGCCAGAGAAAACACCACCAAAATCACCCAGACTGACAGCAGAGACAGGGGAATGTAAGCCTGCAACTTGGAGATTTACAGAAGTTTCACAAGGTGCAAGAAATCCCTGAAGGCAACCTCAAAGCAAGAAATGAAATCCACAGAAAGAGCAAAGTAAGGCCAAGAGCATAGAATTACAAAATCAGAAGCAAGAGAGAACAGAGCAATGATGCTTAACCCTGAGTAGGAGATGTTGCTTGGATTTCAACAATATTCAGCACCAACAGAGGAGGAAAAGAAATCACACACAGAAATCACATAGAACTGGGAAGGCAAATCAACCTCTGTGTTTTCAACAACCCTCAATCAGAGTCTTAACAATCCAGTTTGAATACTGAGTAAGAAAGCAAAGGGCACATCAACCACCCTGCAAGAAGCAGCTGGGTACCAGGGGCCAGAATTCACCCCCAGAAGTGAAGATGGGATGATAACTCAGGAAAAATGTCATGTTAAAAGTATGATTTTTAAGAAAAAAAGTGACTGCAACATGCTCCTTTTTCCCCCAGCAGAACAAGATTCAGAGGAACACAGGAGACCAAAGAAAAAGACTGGGAGAAAAATCAGAATTAACTTGAAACAGAGGTAATTAGTGAAAGCAGGTTAAAAAAGGAGAGATGAGAAATATCTAGAGGCTCAGGGAGAGAAGCCTGGACAGATGGATGCTGTGTTTTGTTACCATGCCCGTGGTATTTGTATACCAAAAGCACCCAAAGCTTACGTGATGTTTATAGTAAGGAAGGTTTAATGTCAATTTTCCAGTGGCGCACACAAGAGGCTTCTGCAAGCCCTGAACCCTCTCCCATTTGTTACCTGATTTCTTGGACCATTTTTCTCAGCTTCACATTACGCAAATCCTTTACTCAAACTAGAACAAGCTGCTGGCAAATAAAAACAGCTGTTCTTTAGTGCTCTTCCACTCCCTTTGACCAAAATAAGGGAAATGTAAAATTTACATGGAAAAGTAAAAAAAAAAACCTCAGCAGCCTATTGAAGAGCCAAAAAAATTCAGAGTGCAGTTAATTTATTCCTTTCCCACCAAAACTTAAGATATTTGAGAACAATGCTGCAGAATAAAATTTAGGTTTCATATTTGCTCATATTTCCACAGGGCTGACTTCCTTCCCATTCCGGGCCTGATTTCAGCAGGATATTCTGCCTCTGACAGCCTTTCTGCCCACCCATGCGAATCTCCCTGAAAAACAGGCTTTTAGGAAACAATGTACAACAGAAAGATACCACAGCTCTCACAGCTCTTGGCAAGGCTCTTAGGAACGAAAGGAGGAAATGCAGAAGGGAAGGAAAAGCAGATGACAGTGGATGGAAGAAGGGTTGTTTTGTTTTGGTGCTTAAAAAAACCAAAAACACACTAATCCTCTTCCTTAGGCACTCCCGGCTCATTAGTGTTTTTCTGTCCTTCCTCCCCAAACTGTGATACTTAATTTCAGGACAAAACCAGTCTGAGGATAATTCACAAAAACTCAGCAATAATCAGCCCTACGGCCAATAAACTCTTCACCCTCATAGTTTATTTGCTGCTAAGCCTTGGCCTGCAGCCTTGGAATTCATTCTGCCGGCACTACAGCTATTTCCTTGTAAACAGGAAGCCCCCTCAAATTTGCATTACAGTAAACTCATTTGCTTCATTTAGCCTCAGCCTTATCTGGGAAAGATAAAAGGGTGCCGACAGGTGTACTGGGCTCCAGCAAGGAGACAAGGGGTAAAACCTTTGTAATATTTCAAGAGGAGATTCCAGCGTGCAGGACCCCGTGCCTGGGCTGTGGTTGCCCACCAGAGACAAACCAACACATTCCTGTGAGCAGAGTGCTGCAATAATGCAGGGACATTTATTCTCAAGCATGGATGTGATATTCCAGTGACCTTCCTGCTCTCTGTGCCAGTGACAGCCAGGACTGACGGCGGGGATGGCTGCACACCTAACATTACAGAGCCGAGCTCCTGCTCCTCCAAGGAGCTGCTCACACACCCAGAAATAATGAATATCTGGAAAAATTGTTTGATTTCAAACAAGAGAGGACTCTGTGTGTTGTATTTTTTTTTACTGTTACTATATCAACCTGCCTTTAACCAGCAGATCCATGTCATTTTAAATGAATCACTTTGCCAGCGATACAGAATATTTCAGTATAACCAGCACACCATGTCTGCCCTAATGAGAGGGATCAAAAAAACCAGCACAAAGATATCTGACACCAGAATAACGGTCACAGTTTCCTAGTGTATGAGGAAATCCCTGGTTTCAGTTAGAAGCTCAGAGGTTCAGTCATTTCGGGTACCCTAGAGCCGTTTGTGGTCCCGGGTTGAGGTAAGTCCCTGTTCTCGGTTATGTCCGTGCTTCCTTCCGCTGCTGTGCCGAGGGCTGGCATGTCCCTGTCCCACAGTACCAACCTTATCCTCGCTTAAGGCTTCTCACCTTCTGCAGAGCACCACAGGGCGGGTGGCAAGCCATGCTTTTGCTTTAATATCTCATGCCAACAGGTTCTCCCACTTAGAGCAAGGCACTTTGGCCACCGATCCTTTCACTTTCCCTCCTACTCTGCAGAACTTCCTCTGGCACCTGTCTGCCTCTCCCACCTCGTGGAGCAGGTGAACCATCTCTCCCAGCTCCGGGAAACCACCCAAACACGGGCACCACGTAAATCCTGGAGCAGGGGAGCAAAACACAGCAAATCCCTCAGGCCTCGGGCTGTGCTTGCTACGAGGTTTGGGCACCAGGGATGTTGGTGCAGGCAGCAGCTCTGAGGCTCTCCACAAGCACCAACCGTGCTGATATTTCTCATGGTGTTGGGAGGACTCCTCCTGCCCTGAGAGCCTCCACGTCCCACCTTTCACCTGCCCACAGGGGTCACGTCCCTGCTGGGCACACCGAGGACAGCACTGGCATCACCAGAGCACTGAGACACATGGAGCCACCAGCACCCCAGCAAAGCTGCCCTTCGGGCTAGCAGGGCAGGAGGAATTTCATGGATACCGTGCTGGTTTTGGAGTGTAAACATACACCAAGAAAAAAGCAGGCACCTCTGTCTGCCCAGTAACACCATCCTCAACCGGATTTTAAACACAACAGCCAAACTTCATCACCTGATGTCTCAATGCCCCAGCAAGGGGGATAAACATGGGCTGGGCACCCTTCACCTCTCCCTGCTCTGCAGCCTCCCAGCATTCCAGCAGAAAGGCAGGAAAACGAGGGAAGAAGTGGGAAGAGAGCTCTAGCGATCCCCGGCTCACAGCAGACAGCTAGGCTAGGCCACCAGCAGGCTTCCAAACTGCCTACACATTCTGCAGTAAAATTTGGTTTAGATTTTTCCTGTTGCAGTATTTTGTTTGCTGGCTGAATCTACATTATATACATATATGTATACACACAGACACACAGAACCACGAAAAAAAGGAAAAGCTTGGTTTTAATTTCGGCAACAAATAAGCGATGCTCAGGTGATTTTATAACAAACACATAACCACAGGAAAAAGCTGTTTTTGCGGAAGAAAAGCTGCTTTTAGCACCAAGCCCCAAGAAAACAACCTGGGCTGTGCCAGGGCACCCTTCTGCTCCCGCGGTGGGACCGGCGAAGGTCGGGGCGAGGGAGCCCAGACCTGCACCAGCACCTCTGCTCCGTGAGCTGCCTGCTAAGGGCGAGCTCCGGCCCCGTCCTCCTCCCGCATCCCCTGTCAAACCCCATGAAGCATCACCAAAAAACCGCTCTGCAGAGCAGCACGGCCAGAGCGGCTCGGTTCGCTGCTACCGACTGCTTTGGAAAGGGAATTCCTCACCCGGCGGACGGAGCACCGGGCTGGGGATCCATAAATCCCCCCCGAGCTGCGGGGGACCGGCGTCCCCTCTTCACCCGCCGAGGGACCCCGCACAAGTTGAGCCGAATAAACACACGCAAATCCAACACACCCAGCACATCCAGCACACCCAGCCGGGCCCGCGCTCGCCAAGGCCGGACCCGGTGCCGGCGGAGGCCGCGGCACGGCCGGACCGTTATGTCCGGCCCGGGGAGGGCGCCGGGGGCCGGGCCGGAGCCGCGGCGGGGCGGGCGGTACCTGGGCTCGGGCAGGGTGATCTTCTTGCTGGCCCTGGCCGCCGGGGTGCTCTTGCTCTTCTCCATCGCCATCAGGTAGCTGACATCGGCCAGCACCGCCTCCAGGTCCGCCATGTTCCCGCTCCGCCGCCGGGCTGCAGATGGAGGCTCCGCCGGGGCAGCCGCCCCCGGGGCGGGGGTTGGCGGCGGGCGGCGGCGGCGGCTCCGCCGGTGCGGCCGAGCGGCTCCCGGTGCGCGTGTGCGGAGCGCGGGGGGCCGCTCCCGCCTCCCGCCCTGCGCCCCGGGGCGGGCGGCAGGAGGGACGGACGGACGGGCTGGACGGACAGACGGCTGGACGGACAGACGGCGGAGAAGAGGGAGGGAAGGAAGGAGGGAGCCCCCGCCGCGCCCCCTCAACGCCCGCCCGCCCCCGCCGGGCCCATGGCGGCGGCCGGTCCGCCCCCGCCGCTCGCAGCCTGCGCGGCCCCCGCGGCCCCGGGCCCGCAGCTCGCGGCGCGCGCGGCGGCCATGGGCGGGCGGACCGGGCTGCCCCGCGGCGCCGCCGAAAATCCGGACATGGATCGGCGGCGGCCGGAGCGGGGAGCGGGGACGGCACCCGCGGGGTGCGCACCGCTGAGGGAGGGGGGGGGGCCGTTCTGACGTGAGGGACGGAGCGCCCCGAAAAGCTGCCCCTGGATCCCTGGAAGTGCCCAAGGCCAGGTCTGTGGGATAGTGGAAGGTGTCCCTGCCCGTGGCAAGGGGTGGGTGGGATGGGGGAATTTAAGGGTTTTTTTCAGCCCAAACTACTGTGGGGATTCCACGGTTCCACATAGGGGAACACCAGAGCCAACTCCAGCCGCGGAGCGCTGAGCTGCCTGCAAGCTTCAGCACCCAGTTGGGCGCATAAACTCGGAATTAATTTCCTCATCATTTATTAAAGCGCGTGCATAACGAAAACAGGATACAAATAAATGCATCTGTGTCACAGCCTCGCTGAGCCGCTTGCTGGCAAATAATGATGCAAAACAAGGCACCCAGGTGTCCTCGGGCTGCGAGCAGAGCTCCCTGCTCGTGTTCCTCCTTCAAGTAGTAGTAGCTCCACTGCAGCCAAGCAGATATGCAGATTTCAAGTGCTTTCTTTTCTGAATTTCGTCAAATATGTCATAAATAATTGGCTCAATGAAAGGCTAAGTCAATGACAAGTCTGAAGTTTGAAACTCAGCGTGTTTTGAGCTCTTTTCAAGTGCCGCCACTCCTCCTGCCTACATCTTTATGAAAGTTAATGATCTGATTAAAGCGAGGTAGAGTATACAGCTGGGAGGATTTCACCATGTGCCTCATTATGAACCGTCTGAGAACCTGCTTTTTGTTGAAAATGTTAATTTAAGCCAACACTTTCCACTGGAACAGATCCACTGGGGAATGTTTCTCCTCCACCAGTGGCCCCAGAGCCAAGCTGAGGCTCAGGGTGTCCAAGCAAGTGTGGAAGGGAGCAGAGGAAGATGTAGGGGACATCCCTTCTGGAAGTTCAGGGTAAAATATCCCACCAGCCCTGCTTAAAGGTTTTGCTGATCCAAGTTACAACATGGAAAGGGGCATTTTTATCTCCTGAAATCCTCTGGGCTGGTTCCTGTTGCTGCTGGGGCTCCCACTGCAAAGCTTCTTCCAGAGCCTTTTCCAGGGCTCTCCATTTGCAGGGGTGTGATGGCAGAGAAATTCCTCTCACCACATCCTCAGCCTGGTGATGTGACTGGACACGTGCCTTGTGCTGGCTCTTCCCAGGGGACTCCCCAGTTCTGGTTTCTTCAGCCCCTCTGCCCAAGTCTCGCCGTATTTCCACAGAAAAAGGCAAGTTTCGTTTTCTGAAGTGTGGCTGTGCAGAAGCAGCAGCACACGGGGAGGATTTGACCTGAGGGTGTTGCTAAACACCCCAAGCAAACAGAAACCATCACCCCAGCAAGGAGAGCCCTGTGTTTGTTCAGATATTCAAATGGCTTTGCAGTGGTGGTGACAGCAAAAGCGGCCACCAAGATGCCCCTTAGGATTCCTAATGCTCCCCTATTTATTCCTGTGCCACCATTATTAGCTGGATATTATTGTTGTGTGGCCATCAAAGACATTTCAGGTGACAGTTTCTAGGAAGTGAGGTCTGGTGAGGGCCAAGTTAAGGAACTTGTTCTCTTCTTTCTGCTTTTGGTGCTGGTGTGGCAGCAGCAGCCACCAGGGTGGTGGTGGGTGATATGCAAAGGTGTTTTCTGCACCGCTGATTTCCCAAATGTCACTGCAGCGTGGTCAGAGGTGGTGGCACATCCCCACAGCCACCCAGGCCCTGGCTGGGGAGGCAGCCCACGTCAGGCTGTTCATGCTCGCCTCTAGCAGTGTGTAAAACACACGCATTTTTCAGTGTTCTATTCAGATATTTTAAAGGTCACTGGGACGGGTATTTTTTAATAACAGAAGGAATCAAACCTGATTTTTTTTCCTGAAGCGATCAGAGCAGCCTCCTCCTTTTCAGGGAAGTTGAATCCCTCCAAGTGCAAGCCTGCAGCTTTCCTTAGTCTGTGTTGTATCCCAGGCCGAGTGTTTGCATTGTTCTTGTGTTGTTTTGTGCCTCCTGGCTTGGTGTTTGTGAATGTTTATAAACAGTGCTCTGGGGATTTCCCCAGGTAAAGGAAACCCAGAGATAATCGATGCCAGGGCTAGCAGAGGTCAGAACACGATACACTCTGAATGCATTTAAGTATCTCCTGACATTTCTGTGGATGCTGGTGGATACTGCTCAATCAATTTAAGTGTGTCTCGAGGCCTGGCTGGGCTGCAGGCTCTGCATCCACTGCGGAGCCAGGAAACCAACCTCCCCTCTACCGCTCCTTCCTTCCGAGGAGCGCGTTCCTCCTACCATCTGTGTGAGATTTAAATGTTTAATTTTGCCCTGCTCTGCTTCACAGCGTGACAGATGATATTACAGAGAGCTACGAGGCTGTTGTAGATTTATTAGTGCGTCCCACACTGACACCATCCCATCAAGATAATGCTGCAACACATTACCCAGGACGGAACCACATCCGTCCTGTTGCCCTCCAAACAAGCCGTGCCAAATCCCATATCAAATAAGATCTCTGCTCTGTGCTGATGCCAGCAGCATCTCTCGAGGGGAATGTTCACATAAAAGATCATTAAATATTATTTTTAATACGATTTTTACTAATATTTCTGATACACTGCCAGAAATGCACATAGGTGGAGATTAAGAGCATTAAGGAGCATTTAGCTCAGTTCCCTCCATGAGCTGCTGCTCTCTAGGGAGAGGGCAAATTATTTGCTCCTTCTTGGCAGCACTGGTGGAGAATAATCTATTGGTGATGGATCCTCATAGGAATCTGACTCTCTGTGGCTTGTTTATAGCGAGGTTATGCTTTGCTGCAGTTCTGGCTGTACTTTTGGGGTGTCTGACTGAAGGGGAGAGGGCAGAACCCCTTTCCCCACACTCACGTCGATGTTCCCAAGTAGCTCCCGAGCACAGAGTTACCTGGAGGGGAAGCAGCTCCTGCTTAATGAGATTGTGTGAGGATTCATCAGGCAGCAACGCTGCAGTGCCTGGAGGCCAGTGGGACAGGAAGAAATACAAACCATTCCTGGGAAAAGCAGGACAATGCCAGCACTCCCCATCCCACTGCTCCAGCATCTCAAAGGAACAGCCTCACTCCATCCCCTCTGCCTGCCAGATTCAGCACTGTGCCAGGCCCTGGGGTGGCTTTGGCCCCTCTCCCCTCCAGTGGCCCATCCCTGCCAACCCCACGGGCATTCATTCCTCTGCAGCATCCGCACCCAGGCTGGGGCTGCCTCCCATCTCCTCAGTGCTGCGCTAATAAACGGTGAGAGGCAATGTGGGAAACAAATAGAGTGAATAATGGCCACGGCTGCTGCTGCTTTTATTCACTGTCTGTGCCAGAAGGAGCAGTTTTACAGAAGGCAGCCTCTGCCCTCGCAGTGCCCTTGCATTTGGCACCCCAAGCCCCAGGGTGATGGGAGCTCCACAGCTCTGCCCTCCTGGAGAAGCAGGGAGGCTCCTCTGCATCTCTGTGGATTCCTCCAGCTTGCTTCTGAATACTCTTAACAAAGGCACTTCAGCCACCTCAAGCAGGTAAAGCCTCAGTGTAGCTTATCGTCATCATGTTCCCTTTTGCAAATAGCTGACATGGTGAGGAGGTTGGGTTTTAATTAGGAAACAAGTGGCAATTCAATTCTCAAAAATATTATTCACCATCAAACATTTGTACTGGCATAGTCAGACTAGCAATAATTATATCCTCTGGGGGCAGAGATAAGAGCAGAGTTGAAAGTCATGCAACATCTATGAAGTCTTGCATGAGAAAACACAGGCACGAGAAGACCGGGGCCTCCCATTCGCAGTTGCATCACACCATCCCTCTCACCATGTAATAAAAATACCCTACTGACATTTTCCCCTGCACATTTTCTTCCCCTGACATGGCACACAGCAATGTCCTGGTGCTGCCTCCCACCCCAGGCTGTGCCTTGCCAGCTGCAGCCCGGAGCCCTCGCTGTGACCCCTTGGCAGCACACACGGGGACATCGCTGATGTCACAGCTTCCCTCCCTCCATGCACACAGATAAATAAAGAAGCATCACCCCCTCACCTGGGCAGGGCAAGCTTCAGGACAAAGCTGGGTCACAGAGCATTGCCACACCAAAACCATCCCGGGTGACTCACAGAGGCACAGGGGTGACATTGGAGGCATGAAACACTCACTGTAGAAGGCAGAGCCAGGGACCTGCATTAGCACCCAGCCCTGGTTCTGCTCCTTAAGCAGCATCACCTGGTACATCCCCAGTGCACCCACCTGGGCTCCTCTGCAGGAGGGGCAGGGAAGTTTGAGCCATTTTCACATGTAAATCTCCACCTGTGGTTGTTCTTGCAGCTCAGTCACGACATGGACGTAGCATCTCACTTAGTCCTTGCTAGAGGGGCTCATTCCAGCCCTGCTGTTGTGGGTTAGAGGGGCCTGAAAACCAGGGGCAGTGGGGCAGTGACCTTTACAGACCCCCTCCTCCTGGGTCACAGGGCACCTTCCCCTGTCCCCCAGCCTGTGACATCCCATGCCCAGCCCAGA